CAGCAGAGGTTAATTCTCACCTGCTCCCATCTGCAGGCTCCACTTTCCCTGCACCATGCCTGGTACACTGAGCTGTGCCGCTGTGCTCCCCATCTCTAGTGAGCTGAATCTTTTTCCCTTTTTTTAATAATTTGTTTAAATTTAAATTTATTTATTTATTTATTTTTAATGTGACCAGAGATGGACAGAGCAAGCAAGGGAGAGAGAGAGCAAGAGAAAGTGAGAAAGCAAGCCACCAAGTCTGGGACTCAACCATGATCAGTCACATGGGAGTGTCCAGAGCCTTAACCACCACTGCCTGGCCACCTGTGAGCTAGGTTTTGTTTTTGTTTTTTTTTTTCCTTTTTTAGGAGAGGTTTTTGCTATAGGGTGCGTGCGCTCACCAAAAAGACAGAGAGACAGAAAGCGAGAAATCACCCCCTCTCAGATCTTAGGCATGCATGCACACATGCCCAGCGTGAGTTTAAGCCACCGGGTCTGGGACCTCAGTTGATTATAAGGGAGTCCAGAGACATAGCCATTATGCTAACCACTGGGCTGGTCCCCGAGCTAGGTTTTTTTAAAGGAACTGAACAATAGGAACCTACTTGGAAGGTGTGAATGTATAGGACTAAAAGATCAAGATCATTAGCTTCTCTACTGTTAAAGGCCTGGGGGAGCCAGTTACTTTGAGGAATTCATGACTCCCTGAGGCTAAGGATCAAAGGTCACTAGCCTCCCTCTTGTAAAGGACCAGTGACTGAACTTGTTATCTCAGAGGATCTGAATGACTGCCCAGATAAGAATTTAACTGAATTGTACTGGATGACTTGAAGATGCCACAGAAGAATGGAGGGACATAAAGATGCAACAGTTTTGAATACTTACACACTCACAAAAACTAATTATATGTTTGGATTTTCCCTTAAATCCACCAGTAATTAAATTTTCCATGGTTTCTTTACCACTCCCTAATGTAGTCACTTGAGCTTAATGTATTACTCATGGAAATTACTATGTCAGTGTTACTGAACCACCTAAAGTCCAATATCAAAGGACTGATAAAATCAGCATTGGTCTGTATCCTACACTCCAAGTCTAGGAGCATCCAAAATCTGCGAAGTCCTAAAATACTCCAGGACTGTATTCACTGCGGAGAGGAAGGAGCTTTTTCCAGCTCCTCCTCCTCTGTCTCTCTCTGGTGAATATACACGCCCTCTGGCAAAATTTTAAAAACACACATATACACAAATTTTAAAACATTATTAAACATCTAAAACCTCTCTTGGTTCCCCTTTAAAAAAAAAATGTAATAACCATTCAAAGCATTTGAAAATTATGGGGCCGGTAGATGGTGTGGCTGTTAAGGGCACTGGACTCCCTTGTGACTGACCACAGTTTGTGTCCTGGACCTGGTGGCTTGTCTTCTCACTTTCCTCTTTCTCACTCAGTCCCTCTCTGGTCAAATTAAAACAAACAAACAAACAAATATATAAATTTAAATAAAATAATTCTTAAAAGAAAATTAACCACTGGCTTAGGACCAGCAGTTGGCGTAATGGCTGTGTCACTTGACTCCCATGTAGTCAACCACAGTTCGAGTTTAGGACCAGTGGCTTAAACTCATGCCGGGCACATGTGCATGTGTGCCCAAGATCCTGAGAAGAGAATGGAAGAGAAGGGATTGTGGCGTGACCATCCCCCCCAGGGGGTGATTTCCCACTTTCTGTCTCTCTGTCTCTTTCTTTCTGGTGAGCACACACACCCTA